TACACGCCCACGATAATTAAATGTTATGCAATGATTTTTACAGTCTGGTACCTGAAAAAGGTTAAATGGCACGGATGGAACCAAATGTACCCAAATGTACCCAAAGCTTAGTCCGCTTGGACTTTTTTTTGCTAAATCTCTCTAAAAAGGTCAATTCTCACTTGTTTTGCCTCGATTTTGATACAGGGTACTTATTATATGTTATAGTTTGAATTCCTAAAGCTTTTAGGCTACTAACCCATCATTCAAGGGTGGTTTTCACTATAAGTAATGGGTTTTATTTGGGCGGAGACAAAAATGTACACTTTTTGACTATGTTCCATCTGGATTTACTCTGACACTGAAACATCTTTATTGATTCTGACACTTCTACATCCAACTCACAGATGTGAACTTGCTTTGATAAAAGAAATTATTCATATAACCCTTTTAGAAGTTAAGTTATAGTCCTTTGTTTTGAGCATATCATTTTCGAGCCTGAAACCTGAAAAACAGGCTTGGGGCTTAAGAGATTAAAACAAATGAATAATGACTCTATATAATAATATAAGAATAAAACACGGAGGACGGAGATCTCTTTTTCTCCCCCTCTTCTGAGAGCCCAGCAGCTGATCTCAAAGCATGCTCCCCTCTCCTGCAGGGGGGCGTGGTCAGCTGCAGCTCATTTGCATTAAAGCTACGTCACAGAATCAGCCCCTGCAAAATCAGGGCTGGAAAAGATCAAATAGAGCGAAATGAGGAATGGCTAAAATGCAGGATCTGTTTGGTATTTTTTAAAAAAAACTATATTTATATACTTTATATAGGTATGGCCCTACAATATATTGTTCAAATATAGCATGATAGGTCCACTTTAATATAAGATATTTGTTTGAGCACTATTGATTGGTTGGCTTGGGTCACATGATATGGGCGGCACTCATTATAATGCTGTTCACCTGCGTGAGGTGTGTGTGGAAGAGAGGGTGACACAGGGTCGTTTGTTGACCACAAGTTGAAATGATTGCTTTGATTAATATAACAATAGGCGCGTTCACACCGGAGTACTTTTCCCGTTTAGTTCCGTTAGTACCCCTTATGTCGCGTTCACACCAAAAAGAGTACTTAGGGAACTTTTACCCCCATTTTTAGTGCCTGCTGAGAGGTGGTACTCTCCTGGGGGAAAAAAGTGCCCCAGTTCTGATTGGCTGGGCGAATTGCAAACCACGCCCCGTAAAACTCTGAAATGTTTTGTAGAGCCGCCATTTTATTATCCTCGCATTAGCATTATTAGCATTAGCCCAGCGCACAAATGCAGAGAGATTAACTTATGGCAACACAAAATAAAACATGGGAGCGGTGGAGATGAGGAGGTGTCGGTATTCTGGCGATTTACTCGGAAGGCTTCAGTAGCCTCCCCCAACTCCGGGGACTTCCGGCCCGGGACTTCGGGTGGCAGGATATGCCGTGAAGTCGTTTGCGGCCTGCCAGTAAACCCAAAGCAGAAGAAGAAGTGACGTCAGCGGCTTCATTTGCGCAATCTTCCCTCAGGGAAAAGTACTCCGGTGTGAACGCGATCGGCTCTTAGTTCCATAGGGGAATTAAGTGCTGGGAACTAAGTACTGCAAAGTACTTGGTGTGAACGCGGCTATTGTGCATGTCCAAGGAGAATAAGTGGATCATTCCAGTTTTCATTAAACCACATTATTTTGCAACAGAGTTTTTGATCTCAGCAAGTACTTTTTTGTAGCGTGTCACACAATATGCAAAATGCCAACACCCTTTCCGAATAATCTAATTTATTAGGGATTCCGAACAAATGTATTATTGGGGTAGGTTTTGTTTATCAAAATTGATAAAAAGGGAAGAATTGTTGGGGAAATATTTTCTTAGGCCCATAACTGTGACCTAGTTTATCAGTTTGTACTGACCTCACTGAGCACACGCACCTGTAGCTTGGCTGCTGTGCTCTCAGTGTTTTTTTCCCTGTTCCTGCCTGTTGGCGTCAGCTGATAGAGGTGTTATGGTTTTATCTTGTTATGCACAATGTTGATTATTCTCTCAGAACCAGCTAAATACATGGGTCTGGGTAGAGATCCTCAGAATTGGTTTAGAATCCGTTGTGTCAACTCATGGCTCGTGACACGTCTTGTGAATTCTCCGGCCGAAACTCCAAATAAACCGTCAGTGTTTGCCATCAAAGCTACTGCTCTCCCCGTGTCTCTCCGAGTCCTGTTTCCAATTACTTCAGAAGTTCTCTAAACTGGGTAACAGGGGCACTGCACCCTCTTACTCTCAGCATGCACCCTCATACCAAAATGCAGATTTCCCCCATAAAATGTTAAAGTGATGCCAGAAAAACAATATTTATGTTCATCAAGAAACGGTATAATTACTCCAGAAATATGAACATGGTGTCAAATAGAGCGTCAGGCGGCAGAGACAGCTATTAACCTGTTAAGCCCGAAGGTCCCCGCCGGCGGGGACCCTGGTTTTTTTTTTCACGACACTGTGTCTCAGGGCATCTTAATATTTAAAAACCTATTAATGTGTTATACCAGATTAACGAGAAGAATCTCAGCTAACTGACGATACGAACCATTTTTACCGAAACAAAACACAAGTCTCACAAGAAGCGTTAGCATTAGCCCTTAGCTAAAACGGGCAGATGCTACTTCCGGTGCTAACTAGCAAAAACGATCTTTAAAACTTAATATTTTCTGCACAAACTACATATCATCTGAAAGCTGATACTCCAGATTATTTTTGTTATAAGTATCATCACTGTAGGACACAAACTCACTGAGCTAGCAGCCAGAACAGAGAAGAAAAAAAACAACAGTTTTCAAAACCATAACAATGATTATGTTTTACCGTTGCTGTTTTGTGATCAAAGCTCTTGTTCAAGGGGGAAAAAACGCTGCTTAAAGTTAATCCAATGTCTCTTAGTCACTTTAGAATTATTCCTGATAATCTATCATTACATTTATGGCAGCAGAGTAGGTATAAAGTTTCGCAGTCCCGAGCTAATGCTGTCTCACGTGCCGTTTACGCAAACCTCTCTCTACTTGACGTAAGTGTTTAGCGGGACTTACTAACCGTCACTCGATTCTATTGGCTCTAACGGTTCAGAAAAGGTGTCAATCACCCAAATCGACCAATGGGTTCCAAAGATAGGATCCTGCGTAGTATAAACTACGCCCGCTCCGGCTCCATTACGCATTACGCAGCCAGAAGGGCTTCACCACCGAGCAGGTGCTAGAGATGCTAGCTGACGATAGCGGGGCTATGATCATACCAGATGACTCTTCGTCGGATGATGAAGATCTCCTCCAGCCAGACCTGGATCCGGACAGTAGTGACTCGGATGTTGAACTTCCACCACGGGAAAGGTATGTCATCTCTCTGTTTTTATATATTACTTATGTGTTTGGTGGAACTGCGTCACAGTGCTAGCTTAGCCAAGAAGCTACAGGAATGATTAGGCAAAATGCTAAATAGTGTTACTTGTCTTTTTGGAGTTACATTTTCTAAATGAATGGCCAGTGAATGAATATATACATGTGTTTACTTATTTATTTGGTGTAATATTATTCATTTATAGTCCAATATTATCCTATAAGTATAAGCCAGTGAATTAATCTAATCTCTTTGTTTTTCCACATTTGTTAGATGAGGAGTGACCCCAGCAGGACAAAGCCACACACCCAGAAGACTTTCAGGGAGCAGCTTGCTGCAGAATTGTTGGAGTTTGCTGAAGGCCCTGCTGAAGGCCCTGCTGAAGGCCCTGCGGAAGGCCCTGCACCTCCACCACCCCCTCCTCCTCCACCACTCACATGCCCGAGTATTATGGAGAAGATGCCACCAAGGTCAGGAAGAACTGCAGGAGGTGCCTAGATGCTGGACTCAAAAGGGTGAAGACACCTGTGTACTGCAGGAAGTGCCAGGTCCCTCTGTGCTTCACTGTCAAAAAGAACTGTTTCAGGGAGTGGCACGACCTAAATACTGGAATATTCAGGTAGGTATAAAGTTCAGGTAGGTATAACGTTTTGAGAGTGTTTATTTAAAAAAAAATACTTGTTTTTATATAGTGTGATTTTATTGTATAGTGTGTTGGTAAAATATTTGTTGTTTTTACAAACCTACAGTGTGGTTTTATTGTATAGTACGTTGGTAAAATGTTTGTTTTTACATGCCTATAGTGTGTTGGTAAAATGTTTGAAATACATCTGCCCCAGTTGGAGTCAAATGTTACCTATGTTTCCGTTTTTTTATTGTGCAAGTACACCTACACACAATGACCTACAGTGTAGTTTTATTGTATAGCGCGTTGGTACAGTTACATACACACACAGCTACACTTACACACCTACACTTACCCACACAGCTACACACACAAAAAAATATATATTTTTAAATGTTGTTTTTTTTTTTTTTTTTTTGGGTGGAATGAATACCTATAGTGATGATTCAATGTAATACAATGATTTGTATAGTCTGGTACCTGAAAAAGGTCAAATGGCACTGATGGAACCAAATGTGCCCAAAGCTTATTCCGCCTGGACTTTATTTTCATAAACCTCTCTAAAAAGGTCAAATATCACTTGTTTTGCCTCAATCTTGATACAGGGTACTTATTATATGTTATACTTTGGATTCCTAAAGCTTTTAGGCTACTAACCCATCATTCAAGGTTGGTCTTCACTATAAGTAATGGGTTTTCTTTAGGCGGAGACAGGAATTTACATTTTTTTGCTATGTTCCATCTGAATTTACTCTGACACAGAAACATCTATATTGATTCTGACACTTCTACATCCAACTCACAGATGTAACCTTGCTTTGATAACAACAATTATTCATATAAACCTTTTAGAAGTGAAGTTAAAGTCATTTGTTCTGGGAATGTCATTTTCGAGCCTGAAACCTGAAAAACAGGCTCTGGGTTTAACAGGTTAAGAGTCTAACGAGTTAATACAGAGTCTAAAGAGTGAGAGAGAGTGAATAAAGAGGGAACAGACCTGCTCTGTGGATCTGAAGCTGAGGCTGTAAAACAGCGTCCAGTAGTTTCCGGTGTCTCTCGTTCTCCTGTTTTGAACGAGACAGTTCCTCCTCGTACTTTGCTATCGTTCTTTCAAACAGAACAAAGATGTCTTCAGCAGCCGCAGTGAGTCGCTGCTTCACCAACGAGAGCAGCACAACACTCATGTTTACTAAATCACCACTTCCCGTTTCTCTCACTCTGTGTTGCTAGCGTGTTACCAGCTAGCATGCTAAGCTAGCAGGCTAAGCTAGCTTCTAGAGTCCGAGCTAGAGGCTTCAGAAGAAAGAGCACAAAGTCAGAGGTTCATTCAGACACACAGACGATAAATGGATCAGCTGCTCACACACACTTCCTCAGGAACACCGAGAGAGAACCATGGATGTAGCGAGAGAACACACGAGAGAAGCCACGAGACGCGATCTGGTTCCATTAGAAAGAGCGAGACCATCATTTCCGGTGACCCACTTCTTCTTCTTCTCTCGATTTAAAGGCAGATTGGAAACAACTTTAAGGTGCATACCGCCACCTATTGTACAGAGTGTGTATCACCATTATCATCCTATCATCACTTGTGGAACTAGAAAATGCATTTCCTGCAGAAAATGCATTTCCTGCAGAAAATGCGTGCGAATGCTGTAAACAGTGAACATTTATGGCTGAATTTAGCTGAAAATGCAGAAAAAGCTGAATATGTTATTAGCTGAATGGTAGCTGCTTTTAGCTAAACAAATGCAGAAAAAGCTTAATATTTAAAAGAAAAAGTTTAAAAAAGGTATAAACAACAACATGTATAGCCTTGATGTCCTGAAATAGCTGAATAATGTAATAGTTGAATGGGTTATGCAGCTGAAAATAGGCTGAAGGAGTTAAATATCAGATGTAAGTAGTAGTGAATGAATTTGTATTAAGATGAGAAAAGAAAGTAAAAAGGCTTGGGAAACTTTTGAACTAACTTGATGGTGAATGATCAACGGCAACGGCATTTGATGACATCCCATAATACTCTTAGATGTGTTGATGGCTGCATTGTTACCAAACCTGTGAAGTTTTGGGCCATTTCGAGTATTTTCACTGAAGGTATGAGAAAACCGTGTTTCATGGTGAGCATTGTGTTGCCATGGCAACGGCATTTGAAAAAATCTCAAAACATTCACGTAGATGTCTTCACGGCTGGACTGTTAGCACACATGTGAAGTTTGAGCACTCTTTGAACATTTGCTTAGGAGTTATAGTCACATCATATTTTATGGCGAGGGATGCGTTTCCATGGAAACGGCATATGGTGAGATCTCAGATTTGGCGTAGAGCTGTTGAGGCATGGACCGGTGATATACAAGTGAAGATTGGGGGACGATTGGACCGTGTCCATTGGACTTATAGCGACATCGTGTTTCATGGCGAGTGGTCTGTCGCCATGGCGACGACATTTGATGACACCCCATACTATGCTTAGATGCATTGATGGCTGCATCGTTATCAAACCTGTGAAGTTCTGGGCTGTTTGGAGTATTTTCACTGAAGTTATGAGAACCGTGTTTCAAGGGAGCATTGTGTTGCCATGGCAACGGCATTTGGAGAAATCTCAAGACTGTCCTGAATCGTCTTCACAGCTGGACTGTTGAAGTCTGCTGCATGGCAGCTGGAGTGATGACATCATCGTGTTCCATTACACAGGTGTTTATATTCAGGGCTGCACATAACTGATGACCCAGTGCCAAAAAAAGAGCACTGGGTCATTTGAAAAAAGGCGCATTTGCGCACCAACATTGAGAGAGAGAGGGAGAGAGAGAAGGGAGAAGAGGGAGAGAGAGAGAGAGGAGAGAGAAGAGAGGAGAGAGAAGAGAGAAGAGAGGAGAGAAGAGAGGAGAGAAGAGAGAAGAGAGAAGAGAAGAGAGGAGAGAAGAGAGAAGAGAGAAGAGAGAAGAGAGAAAGATATTTGCGAGTTGCATATGAACTCAGGGCCGGCCCGTAGCTCTGGCGTTATAGATGTTCGCCTAGGGCGCCAGATCTGTGGAGGCGCTGCACTGGCAGTTTTGGGAGGGAAAACATTTTTTTTGACCGTTGGGGCTCATCCTAATTTTCGGCCTTGATGTAACGATATTCACAATTAAGTAAATGTACACCCTTTTCACCCCGGTTACACGTTTCATTTGCCCTGTACGATGGGCGCTGTAAGTGATGAAAATGGGGGATGTTGGCTTATCTGGCAACCGCAGCTCACAGCCAAAATGCGAGTGAGTGAGGGAGAGAGGGAGGGTGCACCGGTTCCGGCGCTGTTATTAGAATCTCGTGCTAGCTGCTTTAACGGATATAAGAAGAAGATGTTTCTAGAATAATGTGGAGAGAGAGTCCTCTCCAGTCAGACTGAGGCTGATAACTACAGCTCAGTGAGGTAAAGTAATCTTGAGTGTTTAGATAGTTAACTTTAGTCTAAGTTCAAACGATTTGGTCACAATTTATGTAAACACATATTTCCAAGGCACTCCTTTATAATTATTGGGATAAACAGGTTTGAAATCATTCCAATGTATACTATAGGACAGTAACCAAAAATATCCTTTAAAACTGGAGAGATACATTTATTTATTTTTAAGGTCAAATAAGATATGAATGAACAACACAAATAAAATAAGTTACATCCATTTGTTATTGGCTATGGTAGGTTATTGGTTATGTTCACATACTTATTTGATTACATCCACTTGTCTAAGATGACAACAGAGACTTTCGACCCAAAACCAGCTGTTGACTTGTGGATGCAAGCAGCTAATCGCAGACTCAACCAGAGAGAAGGAAGTAGGCCTACATCATCAGCTACCATGTCTGACAGAGAGGAAGACAGTGAGGAGAACAGTCAGGAGGAGTGATGACAGCTTGTAGGATTACTGCTCGTGCTAATGTTGTCTTGTGTTCACCTCTGCATGTGTGTTCTGTGTTCACCTCTGCATGTGTGTTCAGTGCCGTGTGTCTGGCAAATAAAGTCAAGACCCCCTCAAAAGTTACGGTTTATTTCATTTTAAGGATGAGCACCAAGCAACATCTCCAGGTGCTCCTTTGAGAACCAGGGCAAAAAAGTTATGTGCACCCCTGTTTATATTTGAACTAACGAGGTGTGTAGAGATCACAGGTTTCCATTGTTCTGAATGAGAGATGAACCTCTTACATGTGAACGTTTTGTGGAAGAACCGTAACAGATATCTGTGAAATTTCAAAACGTGAAGCATGTCAAGGAAGTTGAGTATCTTAAGTGTAATTTTTGGGTTAATAATGTGGCCTTTTTGGCAGTTTAACTAAAGGTGTGCGGCTGCTACCGTGAGGAAATATCTGCCTGAAATTACAATGGGCTTCAATGGAGGAATGTCGAACGTTTTTGTCACTTAATGCCCTCAAGAGGCATTTTCTTTAATATTTGTTCTTATTTTTTATTTATTTTCCAACCTAGGAGAGGTTTTCCTACGTTTTCCATGAAAAAATATGTCTGAGGAGTGTAGGGTTTGGGAAGTATGGCAAGTTTAAAACATTTTTGGGGAAGAATTTTGAGCTGTCCTGTACTCTGTTTTGAGATCAAAGCACTCTAGAGTTAATGAGCTGCTCCATCCACTGTAATGTAAAAATCTTAAAAAGGCCTCTCTACCAAGCTCCAAACTAAATTCAATATCTCAAAAAGTTGAAAAGATATCAAAATTATTTTTGTACAAGTTTTATAGCTGAAGGTATTGTGATCATTTGAAAGTTGGAATGAAGTGTCTGGCTGAAATTATGTGGAAGGAGATGCATTTGGCGCAAAGTGTAGAAAAACAGGATTTGAAGGCATCTCCCATTGACTTCAATATTAAAAAAATAGTTTAAAAAGCTGAATATTTCAAAAAGTATAAAATATTTTTGAAAAAGTTGAAGGTTTCCCATCGATTCCTGAACAGGCTGAATAGTTTAATATTTGAATGGTTTCTGTAGCTGAAAATAAGCTGAAGTTATGGAAAGCTAAAGTATTGGCTGATTTGAAGGCTCTTCCCATTGACTTCAATGTAAAAAAAAGAGTTTAAAAAGCTGAATATTTCAAAAAGTATAAAATATTTTGAAAAAGTTTAAGGTTTCCCATCGATTCCTGAACAGGCTGAATAGTTTAATATTTGAATGGTTTCTGTAGCTGAAAATAAGCTGAAGTTATGGAGTGCCAAAGTATTGGCTGAAATAATAATAAGGGGAAGAATACAGTTTTTAAGTACTATAGTGGAATGCTGTAAACAGAATTCGCACTAATTATACCAGCGGAGGCTGTGGCGCAGTGGATTATTAGAGCATTGGTTTTCGGATCAGGGGAGCACAGGTTCAAATCCCACTGCAGTCAGCATGTCGTTGTGTCCCTGAGACACGTCACCCCAAATTGCTCCTGTGGGGATTGCCCGCAGTATTGAGTATGTAAGTCACTTTGGATAAAAGCGTCTAAAAAGTAACATGTAATTTAATGTATAATACCACTGTATTTACGTATTTACATGTTGCAGTGTAATATGATGTGTTCCACATTTTCTTTCACTCCACGGAGGAGATGTCGGAGAGAACGCGCTCCGAGGTGTGGTTAAACTTTACCCGTCTCGATGCTCGTAGACTAAAGTGCAATAAGAGTTTAGCATGTAAGGGCAGTAACACAAGCAATTTGTCTAAACATTTAGCAAAAGTGCACAGGTTGTGGCACGACCACCAAAACAGAAACATATGGACATAGGCCACCATATAAAAGTGTGCAAATGTATTTAGTATCCTATCCATGTGAACATGTTTTAGGTGGGGGTGGACCTAACCTCCTCTAGGAGGGTCTGGGGGCATGCTCCTCCGGGAAGATTATTTTTAAAATATTGAAGTTAAATGCATCAATCTGGTGCACTTTGAGAGCAAAATGAAGAGATCTATGGATACATCTCTCAACTCCCATATGAAACAGAACTGTACACAAATGTACTTTTTCTTTATTGATATTTTACTAATCACTCCCCTTTTCAACTGTATTCTTGTGTTACTGTCCTATAGTATTTCATACCCGTTTTTCATTTATTCTCTTATTCTTTAATAACTATAATGATCATATAAAGGTGTTCCTCGCAAATACTTGTTTACATAAATGGTGACCAAACCGTTTGAGACCCACTTGAGATAACCTACACTAAAGTGAACTATCTAAACACTGAGAGAGTCCTTACCTCTGGCTGAGGTTATACGATCCTCTCAGTCCGAGAGGAGAGGACTCTCCTCCACCTTGGTGTATAAACAGCTCTTTATATCCGTTAGCATAGCTAGCTAACCAGATGCTAACAACAACATTCCACGTTACCACTCGCGCACTCACAAAATGCGCTCGTGCCACACACACACACACACACACACACACACACACACACACACACACACACACACACACACACACACACACACACACACACACACACACA